AATGGGTGGACTTCAACTCCCAGAATTCCCCAGCCAGCATGGCTGGCTGGGGAATTCTGGGAGTTGAAGTCCACCCATTTTAAAGTGGCCAAGGGTGAGAAACACTGCTCTAACATTACCAAGCTGGGGACAAAGGGAGCTGTAATCTACCAAGGTTGGAAAGTGCCAGACTAGGGAAGAATCCTTTTGTAATCTTGGCCCCGTGTTTTCTGGCTATCTTTAATGGCTTGGTTGCCGGAATCATCTTCTACCTTCCAATTTTCTATTCTCTTTTTCTCCTCTCTGGAGGAAACCCTGTGGCTCGCTTCCTGCAATGCAGAGAGCCGCCAATTAGCCCAACTCATTTTAGCCAAGTCTGGCCTGTTGTGCGAACCCCTCCTTTGGGCCTGGGGATATGGTAGTCAAGCCTCCATCTGCCCTCCTCCACGCCCCTCCTTGTCGAGCGAGATGGAGCAAGGTGCTGTTCCTAGAAACGCCGCCCCAACGCAACTGGATTTATATCTGGCTCCAATCTGTCTTATTTTACGGGAATGGGAGGGCAGTTCAGAAGGCGGAAAGGCAGTTCCTCTGCCTTGCTCAGGCGGCCTTGCCTGATGGTGGCACCTGCCAGATGAGCTGGGCAGTGTTCTCTTGGCTGAAGAAGCCTGGGAGTTGCCAGCCCAATCTGGCATCTGGAAGGTCGCAAATTGGGGAAAATGGTTTTGGGAAAATGTAAGATCCTATAACATTGGGCTGGAAGAGATGAGAGGTCAGCAGGAGCCCAACTGCTTTGGCCTGTGGTTTGTAGACTGGAGCAGGCAGGAGAAGCAAGACGTTGTGTGAAAAGGTGAATTTTGTGCCTGTTACTTTTAAGATCCCCTCCTTAATGTACTGTATTTTAACCCTGCCCAGGACCACCTTGAATCGCTCTGTCTCCCCCAAATCATATTGTTTATCTTTGCATTACATCATATTGTTCATACTGCCTAACAGATCCTTTGACGTGGGTGGACAGCTTCAAAAGCCCCCCCCCTTTTTTTTTTTAAATTTCAGAGCAGCCTTCCCCAATAAGATGGAGTTGCAGGACTTCAGTTCCCATCCTTCCTGGCCACTGCTGGGTAGGAACCTTGAGATATGAAGTCAAGCATATCTGCAGGTCACTGGATTCGAAGCAGTGATTCTAGAGGAAATTATTTCACAGAGGAGGAGGGGACCCGGGAAAAACTGCCCTGAAAAGTGCCAGGATCCGTGGGGTTTGCATACAGAGGGGCTGGGTTAACAGTTGCTCCGTTCCCATGACCTGCAACGCCCAAACCATCCATAACCCAATGGCTTAATTCACACACACCGTGTTAAGACAGTGGTTGAGTTCCCACAACCACAAGTTGGCATTTTGTCTAGCTTAGTGTGACGGGCAAACCCACCCAGAGTCTCAGATCGTATTTGGACAATTACCCCATCAGTGTGGCTTCTGGGGAACTGCACAGGACTTTAAGAACAATTGCTGGTTAAGGTGCAAGAATATCGGTGGCCAGGCTCCGCACCCATCAGCTGCGAGTTTAAACATGAGGATTTGGGAATCACCAGATTGTGACAGGCTGTTTAGCCACGGAGATCCCTCTTTATCCGTGTGGGAAGACACTAAATGTTTATTGCATGTGAGCGTGTGTTTGTGAACAAATATCCTCTCCTTGTATTCCAAGAACAATGAATTCGCAATGCTTATTCTACTATTTATAATTTTTTCCCCCTATTTGTCCTTTCTATACAGTATTTGTATGTTCCTTTGTGCTGACAATTTAATATGGAGGAAGTGTTGCGATGGGGAGGGAACGATCCTGTAAACTTATTTGTATTAAAGTCTTGTTCTTTAAAGAATGCCCGTCGTCTCTTTCTCTTTCAATCTGACAGAAACCGGGTTGAACGCCTGTAACCCCAGCAGGAGCAGAGTAAGATAGCACCTTCCTAAACCTCAGCTTAAGAAGCAGGTTGAAAATGAAAATGAAATGGGTGACTTGGAGGGGAATGGCGGGGGGGGGAGGGCTGCCCTATCATTCTTCCTCTACTGGGGTGGGTATTGAAAAAGAAAAAAACACACCTTTCTTTCCTTTGTTACTGAGAGGCAGAAGGCTGAAACCTCTGGCAACGCCTTACAGTTGGACTCTTAAAGTAAGGGGCTGGGTCAGCCCAACTGCTGTAGCTGGGAGAAGGAGAAGGAGAAGGAGAAGGAGAAGGGGGGGAGGGAGGGAGGAGAGAAAGAGGGAGGCAGGAAGGAAGAGGAGAGATGAAAGGAAGGAATGAACGAAAGGGGAGGGAAGGAAGGAAAGGAGGGAGAGAGTGGGGAGGAAGGAAGGAAAGGAGAGATGGAAGGAAGGAAAGGGGAAGGAAGGAAGGAGAGAGGGAGGAAGAAAGGAGAGGGAGGGAGGAAAGGAGAGATGGAAGGAAGGAAAGAGGGAGGAAGGAAGAGAGGGAGGAAAGAGGGAAGGAAGGAAAGGAGGGAGGGAGGAAGAAAGGGAAAGGGAGGGAAGGAAGGAAAGGAGGGAGGGAGTGGGGAGGAAGGAAGGAAAGGAGAGATGGAAGGAAGGAAAGGGGAAGGAAGGAGAGAGGGAGGAAGGAAGGAGAGGGAGGGAGAGAGTAAAGGAGAGATGGGAGGGAGGGAGGAGAGAGGGAGGAAGGAAAGGAGGGAGGAAGGAAGGAGGAGATGGAAGGAAGAAAAGGGGAGGGAAGGAAGGAAGGAATGAGGAGGGAAGGAAAGAAGGAAGGACGGACCCACAAGAAAATGGTGGTGCATCATGTCTGTAGTGCTGCTACAAAATCTAGGTGGCCTTTTCTGTGGCATCAGGAGTCCATCTGGTCTTGAGGGAGACCCTCTTTGATGCCCCCATAAAACTAGATCCTCCTATAGACTTTGGCTGTGTTCACACACCCTCTGAACCAGAAAGTAGATAACATTTTAGCGTAGTATAAACTTGTCACACAAGTCCAGCCTGAGATGATCAGCAAAGCCGAAACATTGGGAGCTAATTCCGTGGAGTCTGGATAAACGTGTTGTGTGAATGCTGTCTAGACAGCAGCTGAGGTCAGTACAAGGTCAGTTCGCCTGGAGAACGGAGGGTTCTGGTCTTCTCAAGCAGGGCTCCTCAACCTCAGCAACTTTAACTTCAACTCCCAGAACTGGAAAAAAGGAGAAAAAGAAAATGTAGGGGAAACAGCATCTTGGGCAAGGTGAATCACTGGTGAGAGCATGATGCCACTCCAATTGTCCTTAATTCCTAACCTTTTATCCTGTTTTATAATAATAGTAGTAGTAGTAGTAGTAGTAGTAGTAGTAGTAATAGAGGTCCTTGGGAAGGACTGGTGGATAAAAATGCAGTCTAAACATCCCGCTGACTGTGGGATCACCAACAATAATAATTTTAAAGCCACCTTGACTGATGTCAGGAAGCTACGCAGGGTTGGCCCTCCTGGCTCCTTGGATGGGAGACCACCAGGGAATCCCCAGAGGCTGGGGGGCTGCTCAGGGTATCCAAGGGGCTCTGCCTGCTCCATTCCCAGCCGCCCAACAGCCGCTGGGCGCTGGCCTCCTGGCTCAGCCGGCTCCTCCGGAAAATGAACCAGGGGCTGGCAGGGGCGGCTCCAACCGGATGAAGGCGACCCCAGCCGCTGCCACGGTGTTGCCGGCGAGCCAGGCGCGCCTG